TGAAATATATATATGCGCAGCATACAGTGATGTTGAAATTGACGTTGTAACACAAACGATCTGTAACGCAGTTCGGGCAAACAACCCTAATCTGCGAGGCACTTCTCAATTTGAGAACTTGCCTAAATCCACTAAAAGTTCAATATTTAAGGTACACTGTTTGGAACCTGAGATTACACAATAGAATGATCTTTCCTACCAAACTATTGAAACCTAAACACATGTACTACTTTCTAGGGGAATTTAGTACCCTATTCTCAAAGACTCTCGTACCTCACAAGATTAATGTTGAATGCTTGAATTCTACAAGAAAGGATAACCCCTATTTATAGTAGCTATTCCTAACAGATTCGTGAATAATAAAGCTATTCCTAATCAGACTAGAACTAAAAACTTTAATAACAATTCCCTTTAGAACTAGTACTCTTCAATAACTACTCCTCTTAGGCTTGGTATTCTTTTATAGATCTGGAATTCCTTTTGCACATAACTTTGACAAAACACTTTGAGTCAACAATCTCCCCCTTTGTCAAATTTTTGGCAAAAACCTTGATCTCATAATGGCTTGATTTCCTATTCTTCTCCCCCTTAGTTGATTCTTCTCTCCCTAAACTTGATTCCTGGAGTTCTTGGAAAAAAAAAAAAACTTGAAACTTGTATTTGAATGTGTGAGTGAAGAGAATTCTTCACTGTCTCTGTACATTTTACCAATGTGTGGTAAAGTAGATCCACACAGTCACAAAGGTAGAGGATTTGATCATAGATAAGTTCAAGTGGTTTTGGATCTTATATGGGCCCTAAGACATACCCAATCTCTTAAAGAGGCAGAAAAATACAATCCATTTTTTTTATATATATATATATATATATATATATATATATATATATAACCATTGGGAACATCATTTATATATATTTCAGAAGTACTTATCAGAGTTGAAGATGCTGATTTCCCCGTCTTCTTTTCGACGTTAGCCGATGCTCTAGCTCTAACTGGAAACAGAGGAGCGTCCGATCGCGGGAGATCTTCCGACGATCCTCCGGCAATCCTCTGCACCAGGCTCTCTTCTTTTGCTGGGTTGGAAACCGCGGAGGAGCAATCGAAAAGATGGCGTTGTTTCATTAGCAGGACGATCAAAAGCAGACCCGTTAGGTTCATCAACAAAGCAACCAGAATCCCCGCAGGTAGCAGCATCCCATGTTTCCATTTCCGAGCCTTAATGGCGATCTTGTCTAAAGGAGGAGGAGAAGAGTTGGGTTGATGATGATCAGACCAGCTCTTGTATAGCTTCATTTCTGAATCGAATTCAATTCTGATCAATTGATCAGAGTCTGCGGGCACGTTCAAATTTAGAGTTGGCAAAGAACACAGCTGCAATTATGAGTCTTGATTTGCCAGCGGTAACGTATTATTATTTTTTCCAGATTTGATGATGAACTCTAAGCTTTTGTTATATGCTTCTGTATGCGGTCCGCAGCGCCTGTGATGATCTTCATAGCTTCGTAACCTGGAGATCAGATAAGAAGAAGGCCGGCGCTTTAGTTCCTTAAGAAATTGCACAGATTGGTACCTACTTGAACACGATTCTTCCTCAAATCCAGAAAGGAGAAGACCGCCCAGCAGTTTATCCAATTCCAATTCTGGCACCTCATCACGCCGGAGAAGAGTTTCTTTTTCCCTCTCGCATTTGGGTGCGCCCCAACTGTTCGACAGAATTTCGGAGTCATTGTAAGTGCAATCCAAACTTCATATTTTGTTCACATATGTCATAGTTCAACTTTATACCCCAATCTTGTATATCTGTTACAGTTTAAGGTCTCATCAATGTTTTTTGGGATCAAACTTGGAGGTGTGGCAGTATACTCCTTTTATTTTGTGGAAATCTTGTTTCTTTCCTCTAGTCTTTATTCTTTGATTGAGATCTCCCATGATATTTTCCAAAGGATGATTTTTCTGATTTTTTAAGACAGTAGAATGACTTTTATCCTTTTCTTCATTTGGCTCTGTTTCTGTTCTGCAATTCTGCATATCATTAGTCAGAGGTGTTGGAACAGTTGTTTCAACAACTCTTGGACTTTTGTCATCATCAGTGGTTATTGCTGGAGTTACATCATCAATGATCACACTGTTTGATGAATAGCCTGGGGATGCTCCTTGGTCATGAAAATTTATGTGTCCCATACGTTGGTGCCATAATTGTGTTTGACTGATGTTTGTCTGTAAATCAGATAGATCACTATCCCATGTGTAGCATTTGTTTGTAGACCTTTTTCCCATCATGACACAATCATGATTCTGATTAAACACATTGCAACTGTCTCTAGAGAACTCTACTTTGAGTTCATCTTCACAAAGCTGACTTATGCAGATTAGATTTGCTTTTAGGCTTTGTACTAAAAGGACTTTTGACAACTTAGGTAGCCCATGGACATTCAAGGTACCATTTGCAATAATTTGTCCTTTTCCACCGTCTCCAAAAGTGACATGCCCTTCATTTTTGTACTGGATGTTCTCAAGATTTTCTGAATTTCCAGTCATATGCCTTGAACATCCGCTGTCAAAGTACCATATATCTTGCTCTTTGTTTGTTTTGGAGGTATATGCAACATTTTGGTCTTTTCTTACCCAGATTTTCTTACTATTATTTCTGTTCTGTGTTGGCCACACTCTGTTGTTTTGTCTGTAGTAAAGATCATTCTGTCTCTTGTAGCAGTGAGCTTTGATGTGTCCAGTTTGTGGCAATAGTAGCACATTATTCTTCTTTGGTGTCGGAAGTGCTGTTGTGACACTTCCTGTGTCTCAGTTTGATGATTCTCACTAGTGTCTGTGCTTGGAGTCCTGGGTCTTTCGGTAAGCTCCTTGATTTCTTGTAGTAGTTTAGCTTCTTTGTTTTTGAAGTCTAATAGTTCGTTTTGAGCTTCTTTGTATTGTTTCTCTATTCGTTCTTTTTCATTCTTCAAATAGTGATTATCTTCCATGAGTTCCAAATTTTTCTTGATGATTTGCTCCCACTTGGCATTTAGTTGAGTGTATGCCTCTAGTAACTCTTGCATGTCATCGCTATTGTTGCTTTCATGGCTAGCGGTGAAGGCTACGAAATTTGTGTTGCTGTCATCTTCTTCACTATCTGAGTCATCGCTTAGGGTTGTTATATATGTTTTATTTTTTCTTTTCAAGTATGTGGCACATTCTGATTAGATGTGTCCAAAACCTTTGCATTTATAACACTGTATTCCTTCTGTATTTGAACTGTCTCTTCTTTTTGAAATAGATTGATTTTGTCCAGTTGGGAAGTCCCCTTGATTGATTGAAGCACTTTTGTTTCTAAATTTGTTGAATTGTTTGAGAACTCTGTTGAAATTCTTTGTTAGGAGAGCGATTGATTGTTCTATGGTTTCAGTATCAATTTCTGGACTTCCGTTCTGCTTTGATTGGAACGCAATTCCTTTGTCATTATCTTTCCCTTTTGCAGTATCTCAAGCTCATATGTTTGAAGATTTCCCATTAGATCACTCAGTTTGTAGGTGTTTAGATCTTTATGTTCTTGAATAGCGGTGACTTTCATTTGGAATCTTCCGGGTAGTGAGCGTAGTACCTTTTTGACGATCCTATGTTCGGGTATAGGTTCGCCTAAGTTGAATGCATCTCCGGATATACTTAAAACTCTGGCACTGAATTGGGTGATGCTTTCTTCCTCTTCCATTTTCAGGTTTTCAAATTCAGTTTGTATCATCTGAAGCTTAGATTCTCTTACAGTTGTGTTTCCCTCATGATGATCGCACAATATACTCCACGCAATTTTGGCTATGCGAGTTGACGCAATTAGTTTAAAAGTGTCTTCGCTTACTGCTCCATATATTGCATTCATAGCCTTTGAGTTAAAGTCATATTCAGTTTTCTCTTCTTCGCTCCAATCAATTCTAGGTTTTGTATTTCCTTTGTCATCGACTGGAGTTTTCCATTCGTTTTCTATTGCATTCCAGACGCCTTCTCCTTGTGCTAGAATGTATATCTGCATTCGAGCTTTCCAGTAGGAGAAGTTTGTGCCAATAAGGGCAGGTGGCCTAGTGTTTGACAGTCCTTCTCTGGGAAACTCCATTAGGATCCTGCTAATAACTTAAGCAGTTTGGCTCTGATACCAATTGAAATATATATATGCGCAGCACACAGTGATGTTGAAACTGACGTTGTAACACAAACGATCTGTAACGCAGTTCGGGCAAACAACCCTAATCTGCGAGGCACTTCTCAATTTGAGAACTTGCCTAAATCCACTAAAAGCTCAATATTTAAGGTACACTGTTTGGAACCTGAGATTACACAATAGAATGATCTTTCCTACCAAACTATTGAAACCTAAACACATGTACTACTTTCTAGGGGAATTTAGTATCATATTCTAAAAGACTCTCGTACCTCACAAGATTAATGTTGAATGGTTGAATTTTACAAGAAAGGATAACCCCTATTTATAGTAGCTATTCCTAATCAGACTAGAACTAAAAACTTTAATAACAATTCCCTTTAGAACTAGTACTCTTCAATAACAACTCCTCTTAGGCTTGGTATTCTTTTATAGATCTGGAATTCCTTTTGCACATAACTTTGACAAAACACTTTGAGTCAACAGAGACAAATGGTCGGATCTCGGCAGCGGTAGTATGGGAATTATGCTCAAAGTGGATAGATCCCTTGTACGCACCGTTATTTAGTTATGTCTGTTGAGCCATTTAATCACCCTAATTTACATTCTCTCAAATGCTCTGTCGGGTCGAGTGTGGAGTCCGCCTTTGGGTTATGGATTCAATAGGAGAAGAAGAAGGATAAAATGAAACCTCACTCACATGCAACGGTTTCCTCTTATATTAGCACTACCCAACTCAGTCTTATCTTACAGCTGACCCCATCATATCCCAATTCACTCTTATGAACACTCTATATATAGCCCTCCCTACCATGCTTATACGCAACTTCAATCCAATTCATTCGATCTTCATAATTTACCATTCCAGAAAATTAAGAAATACAAAAAGATCATGGCAAAGTCATTTAGCAGAGCAAATGGGAAGAGAAAGAGTGGCATGAACCTCAAGGCAGTGGTAGAAAAGCTTCAAAAGAGTTTTCTACTGGGCAAGAGGTCAGTGCAGGCGAATCATCTCTATGATGAGTTTGAGGAGTCCAAGGATGTTCCTAGTGACGTTAAAGCAGGGCATTTCGCGGTAATGGCGGTGGACGATGATGAGAGGCGGCTTAAGAGATTCATCGTTCCGCTGAGTTGTTTGAGGAATCCTTGTTTCTTAAGGCTGCTGGAAAAAGGTGCAGAGGAGTATGGGTTTGAACATGAAGGTGCACTCATGCTTCCTTGCAGGCCAAGTGAGTTGGAGAACATTATTGCCAAGCAATGTCGTAATGGAGAAGCAGATTATTGGAGTTCTCCTGCAAGTCAAGAGCTCTATGTTTGAATGAATTAAATATGGAGATGTTTGTAGAGATTATATTGTTCTGTTTCATTCTTTAATAGTTAATTAATAAAATTCAATTTTTATCAATGCTTCAATTATTATCAGTGTTTAATAAGTCTACCACTCCTACCTGAAGTGACACTCAAAGTGAAATCTGTAGGTGTTGAATGATCATGAGTCCATATACAAAAATAGTATATATATAAAATCAACCAACCTTGGTACGAAATAAAAGGAACCGAAATTATTTATAAAAAAAAAATAAATAAATAAAGGCAAAAGAGGAATTTCAAACATGAGGTTATAAACTCAAAGAAAGCAGGGACAAATATATATATATATATATATATATATATATATATATATATATAATGAAATTTAATTTTTAGAAAATTAATTTCAACCAACCTGGGTATGAAACCAAAGGAACCAGAATTATTTATAAAAATAAATAAATAAAGACAAAAAAGAAATTTCAAACATAAGGTTATAAACTAAACGAAAGCAAGGACAAATCCAAATCATGTGTTAATCAAAGGAATTTCAAACATGAGGTTATAAACTAAACGAAAGCAAGGACAAATTCAAATCGTCTGTGTGACACACACTTTCTTTGACCAGAGCATTTTGCAATTTGTACACTCCACGCATGAGAGAGAACTTCTATACTATACAATTAAACATGCTTTTAAGAGACTCTTGTATATATAGTGGTGCAAACTCACTTCTCAATTTTTCTTTCACCCATTATCCATTTTGAACGTAGAATATATCAATTCCCTCGTTTCACTACGAAGAACCCAAATCCACTTTGACCCGATACAAATCAAAAGTGGATCCTACATATATTTGTACCACAAAATAACCACTTTATATGCCATTATGCTAAATCCACTCATCTTGTGACTCTAATCCTCAATAGAACTTTAGAACGTTATGATTATCAGGCAAATTACTCATCATCTTGGCTGGAGTTATTTTCATATATAGTCAACCTAGTTTTACATAAAGAGACCTAGCAACTTATTATGACTTGTTTTATTTAGACCAAATCCAACCCAAAACACTATTACACCAAATGTCACATCAGAAAGAAATATTCTCATACCAAATTTTATTCTATCTCCAACCTATTACATCAAATGTTAGTCTACACTAAAATACCTTTGTTTTTCAAAATTTATAAGTTTATTAGTTTGAATATAATTAGTTTAATATAAAATATAATTTTTGATATAAATAATAATGTTGTACAATTTAATTTTGTTAAAATTATGATTTATTTTAATTTTAATTAACATATATTCAATATTAATCTTGTTTAAATCTTCTTGATAAAATCTTGCGAATGATATAATTTTTGTTTAAAAATATAAAACATATGTATAAATATTTAAGAAAATATATTAAAACTTCCAAATAAAATAAAGAATAGAAAAGGAATTAAAAAAAAAAAAAAAAAAAAAAAAAAAAACAAGGACAACATAAGAATAAAAATAACTTTTTTTTTCTGCGTAGATAAACAGTGTTGTGACATATTTGGTACAGCACTCTTCATCATCGGTGAACTTTTGCCATTTTGGCATCTCCCTTGGAGGAGAAATACACTGTTTTTTTTTTTTTTTTTTTTTTTTTTTTTTTTTTTGGGTGTTTTACCGTCTCCCTTTGGAGATGGTCATAGTTTAAAGGGTCTTTTCTTAACTTTGAGCCAAAAATTCCTTTTGGGTCTATTTCTTATTTAATTTGATTAGTTTAAAAGCACTTTAAAATTTAAATACTTTCTTGTATTTTCATTATTACACAATCAAGAGTTAAGTTAAATTGAATAACAACAAAGCACTTCGAATATTTGAAATTAATATTTAATTTATAATTTGATGCACAAAAATTATGATGAGTTGTTTCAAATATTTGTAAAAAAAGACTACTGTAGTAAAAGACTATGTCTTAATTAATATTTGTAAATATTTTTTTCTTAAAAATGTTTAAATATTAATTATTTGCTAACTAGTTTCAACAACCTCAAAGTATTTTATGATTTTCTCATAAATTTTGAGAAAAAAGTTTTCTATACATAAACGAACTCTTCATAGTACGTTTCTGTGCACCATATACCCTACTCTACATGTGGCTATATGTGTGTTAGTTTGGCTTATTCAAGGAGATCAGAAGATCTATATATACTAGATATATGGGATCACTAATATTCAGGTTTAATTTGAAGTCTTCTTTGATTGAACAATCTTATTGTCCTTCGATTTCAATGACCCACCTCAAGGCCAGCATGGTGAGAAAGATGAATTTCCTATCATATCTGAAAAAACACGTGAGTCTTGACGCAAGATTTAACTTAAGAAATTAATTTTATCTCAATTATAAAGCTGGACTAGATACAATCCTACTCCAGGTATAATAAAGAACATAAAATAGAGAGCAGTAAAAGAAAGCATGCACCAGGAAATGTTCACGTAGTTCGAAGCCTCACTCCTACGTCTGCGCGGTCACTCACATCAACCCAAATCCACTATAATAAAAAGGAGTACGAGAAGAGAGTTTATTACACACTAAAGTATAACCTATAACTACTCCAGAGCCTACTCCAGTGGATCCGATGTGCAGGCGATCTTCATTGCTTCATGATCTTGTTACGGACCTTTCTTCACACTCAGCAATACAGTATATATTTGGAATAATTGAACAACAAATTTCATAGCAAAAGCATATAAAAGAGTGTGTGTAAAAATGCTAACCAAAGTAGCATTTTATATAGATAATAAAGGTTCCATCGATCCACAAATCAAGCACTCTTTCCTTTCTTGACTTCGGCTGCTCCAATTGATTTAGATCCCCTCCATGATAGGGTCTTGACTGAATAACAGATTTGAAGAAGTTTCATATATACCTCCTGGATTACTTTCTTGCGTTGATCCAGTCAACTACTCCAGACTAGGGATGTCAATTGTACCCGCACCCGACGGGGAACCCGATTCCCCGCCCCTATGGGGACGGGGATGGGGATAGAAATAGGGGATCGGGGATGGGGAAGGGGGTAATTTTGAATTCCCCACCGGGGACGGGGATGGGGATGGGGAGTACTCTCCCTGCCCCGCCCCGTCCCCGATGTATGTATGTATGTATGGGGAGTACACACATATGTATTACTTTGTATACAATATATATAATTTTAGAAGCATTGTTGTCATTGTTTGTCATGCTTATGAAATGCATATTTAAATAACATGTTTAATTGTAAAATATTGAATACTATTTTAAATTGGGGATGAATATATATACGTTATTTATTTAAATGTTTATGAATGATTAATTTTTAATTTTTTTTTATAACTTATTAATGGGTGGGGATTCCCCGTCCCCGAATAATCCCCGTGGGGATGGGGATGGGGGGAGTTTTCCATTCCCCGGCGGGGATGGGGACGTGGACGGGGAATGGGAAAAAAGTCGGGGGCGGGGATGGGGGGTATGTCCCCCGCCCCCACCCCGCCCCGTTGACATCCCTACTCCAGACGTTATGACTAATCCAGCAACTAATCCAGAATTACTTTGACAACTAATCTAAGCCAATATTAAGAGGTTTAAATGTGCAACATTTTTACACTTACAATATCCTACCCATATTATGATTTTATTCACTACGCCACAAACTTTATTTTCTTATCTTCCATAACAGTAACTTCAAAATAACTTTATATTGAATTTGAACACGCGACCTGCTCCGATACCAATTATTAAATTAAGCACGCTCATCATTATGTTAAAAGACAAAAGATATAACTAGTAACAAAGACACAATTTTATTTCCTCTTACTTGCGTAGTAATTAGCACTATGTTTTGATGGTAGGATGTTGAACCCGGCGCTCCAAATAACCACCCAACATAGTGATATATAGACTCTTACCTTGTAAAGTAAAACTTTTGTTATAGTACTTTTATTGATAAAAGAAAAAAAAAACAATAAAAGCAATATAAGCTATGACAAAACTATGACTCACTTTTTCGTCTAAATGGATCAAGAACATGCAAGGTAAGGAGAATAAAAAAAATAGAATAGAAACAAGCTAGAAGTACATCTATTAGGGATAATGATGAAGATTGATTGTCATGTCGAGTAAGAGTAAAAAAAAAAAAAAAAAAAAAATTGAGAGTACACTTAATAAAATTCAATGTAAATTAAGTAAATATATAGTCCAACTCAAAACACATCCATTTTGTATAAGAACCAAACACAAGACCCGTGGAACTAGCTCAGATGGTTCAACCGATTATCTTAAAGTGTTACTCCATCTGAATTAGAGGAGATGAAGATTTATTGTGTGCTTGGGAAGGGACGACTCGCGATTTACCTTATTTTGTACTTTTTAGGCAAAGACTAAGACTTGGGATACTGATGTATCAAGAAAAAAACCAGAGGCAGACAAAATTAAAGGTAAATCTAGTTAGAAAACCCACAGAAAAAAACATAAAATTCCACAATTGGATTACCTTTGTAAACTCCAAACAGTTTTGTGACGGTGAATTGAAGGAGCAATGCACCATGCTTGCTGCCGAATTAAGGTGGCCTGCATCAGCTTCAAGCTTTTGCTACTAAACATTGTTAGAACTAACTGCTTCAAAATTGGATCGTGTTAGATATAAATGTAGTCTAATAACTAACTGAATATAAAATTTACCCAAAAAATCTTTACCTCATAATAGATGATGGAATAATCACGGAGCCGGAGCGGAGCAACGCAGTACGAACCGGGTTGGACCCGTGCCCACCCGCGGAGCATGACGAACCACCCCGGGGTCGGCCCAGTGGGGGGTCGGCGTGGGCCGACCTCCCCGAGCTCGGCCGAGCCCCATGGGCTCGACCACGTGGGCTCGGCCCACTGGCCGAGCTCCGTGCTCGGCCCATGGCCGGGTCGTCGCGTGGAGCGAGTCCCGCGGCGCGGGCCGCGGCTCCTCCCGCGGGCCCAGGGCCCGAGGCAGCCGGGGAGTA